GTAGGACGTTTTGCCAAAGTAGGATGGTTTGTCAGAACACCAGCCCTGTATTTACTTGGTATTGGATCAGTCCAAAGATTTGCAGCATTCCAGCGTTGCAGCATTATTTGGAGTTGCTGAGGTGACCAGTTCATTTGTTCTTTTTTTTAACAATGCACCATTGTTGAGACTCATATTTACAATGACATCAAACTTAAGATTTTATGTCTCCTTCATTTATCATGAAAAGAAAGAAGCTTTCAACTTGCAAAACAGTCATTTACTACAAACTAATCGTTAAACGTCTTGATGTATGCTCAATCATCCAAGTAAGTAAAATCCCCAAAAGTTGATCTGTTGAAACTGAGACTGAGACTGAAGAAGTCACTTGCACGAGTGACGAAACATTTCTCCCTCTGAAAACGCTACGTCCAGATGAACAGAATCAATTTTTGGGGATAATCGTTAAACGCTGTTAGTAGAATGAACCTGAAAATCATGACCAACATTTTCTGCACTAATTTTCTACCCTGTATCCAGTTTTCTGCCTTCTTGTGGGACCCTTTGGTTTGTTTTGGCTGGAACAAATCAAATATTCTGGAAAAACACTACCCTGATTTTAAACTGTGCTTTATTTTTAAGCCCTTTGGCGCCCTCTGATGGCCACGATTATAACTGATGAATTTAACGGTCACTAGGACCCAGAGGAGAGCCGCAGTAGCAGGGAGACCCGGCATCATGGCGGATCAAAACAACACAGACGATAAAGGGAAGTTCTACAGTGAAATTTTAAGGTGCGTTTTTACCTTTAACGGTACCTGTGAGCGGGCTTGTTCGCAGGGTAGCGGTACTTTGTCTGGTGTTCTCCCTCAGCAGGTGTTTGTCATTGAATCACTGTGGTCGGAACTCTCAGACTTCTTCTGCACATGGTAACACGGGTTAGTTTAAAGCTAACTGTTAGCTTAAACGTGAATACGTGCTGAAGAGAAAACGCCTATAGTTTCATTAAAACGCACTGATGAAGCTGCACAGTTGTTTCCAGAGAAACACTGTTACTGAAATATTATCTGGACACGTTTTCTGAAATAGTGACACTCTGTATTCGGCTCTCTGACACCCTCTGTTGTGTGTTTTGGTGAAAAACAGCCGTGAGAGAAAGAAAGCATTTGGAAAGTTAGGAATTAAGTAACAGTAAAATATTTTTTGGAAGTCTGCTGTTTTTGTTTTTCTGCACACAGACAAAGCATCAGGGTGGAGTCCTTTTAAAACAAGTCTGGGCGAGGTCCCATGACACTGAGTCACGACTTTATGACTCATGATGGCACTTTAATTACACGCAGATGGACTTCATAAGTGATACTAACGTTATACACCAACATGCAAAGCCTGGAAAGTATGCCAGTAACTTGGAGACTGCTGCTTTCTTGTCGTGATAATCTTTCACACCGATGCAGCTTTGCTAGAAAGATTTTACAGTTGCCTAAAGCTCAGATATGAACTGAATATGGGCTAGAAAAATCATTTTAGTTATATGAAACACAAATAAACTAAAACAATGAGAAACCTGGCCTGTAGTGATTCGTTACCTGCCACCATGTGAGACGAATATGATCGACAGAGACTAAGAAGTGCCTTAAAAACAGCTAAAAGGATTTTAAAGTCAGTGCACAAACTAGCAGCCAGAGTGTTTTAAAACTGGTCTGGCTGCAGTTTTGAATCAGTTGTTGTTGGTGTGAGACATTTTTGCATAGACCAGACAACGGACGACAAGAGTCGAGCCTCAGCTTCTTCTTCTTCTTCCGGTTGCTCCCTTTAAGGACCATTGCAGCAGCTCATCTTCTGAGTTACAGAGAGAGAAAAGTTTGCCGATGTTTTTCATGTGATAAAATCCAGATTTAGTGACAGACCTCACATGAGCCCTCACGCTAAGATCTGAGTCATCGATTGCTCTGAACAACAAGCAAGAAGATAAAAGAGGGACTCCAGAGCGGGAGGTTTAGAGTCTGATTCTCCTTGTGTTGAATATTTTTCCGGAGTTTCTTCCTCTTCTGCTGATCAAGAATGTTTTTTTATTGCATTTTGTTAAAAGTGAAATATGAAACACTTGCTGTACACTGCCTTCCTCTTCCCCTCAGAGCATTTATTTAAAGCTGTTTTCCAAGCTGAGACAAGAAAAGACTGTCAGCTGACAGTTAATCACACGTTTACTGTGTTCCAGCAGGAAACCTCCAACATAATGGAGAAGGACACGTTTTTCACAGAGAAAATTCTTACTCTTGAAAGCCAGCCGTCCTCAAACACCTCCAGCACATTTTGTTTCAGGCTGTGTCATAAAATCTAAAAGCAGTGCAGTGGTTTTCCTTCTCAGTGTTTGTCTGTGATCATGTGTGCATCAAACAGCTGAACGATGTTGTCTTTCTTTAACAACTTTCAGCCCGTCGGAGCTGTTCGCAGCCCGCTCCCGCAGTCACAAAATCCCCGTCAGAGGACAGAAGGACTTCTTCCCCGATGACTCCGAAGAGCAGAAGCAGCGACTCGAGCAGAGCCTGAATGAACACTGGAGCCTCCTCTCAGAGGAGAGAGTGGAGAGGCTGTGAGTACCTCTCATTACCCGTGGGACTACTCATCAGGCCCAGCTTTGGTGGTGCATATAAGACATATAAGGGTGTCTAACCTGAGTTTCAACATCCACAAGCTCCATTCTTAGCTCAGACAAAATAACATTTAGATTGATGGGTGACCATCGATGTTACTACCTTTCTGTGATTGAAAGGAGGTGAAAGCAGCCACTATCAAAGTAAAAGTAGGTAAATGTGCACAGTGATGGATTAAACAGCTTTTCTTGTGTTTGTGTGAGCAGATTTTTAAAAATCCAGGAAAATAAATGAAAAATAGAAACATGATTTCAGACAAGAAAACCTTCAAAGCCCCACGAATCCTAAAAGATAAAAAACTGTGTAACAGCAAAATGATCCAGATGGACAAACAACAATAATACATTTGACTTTTAATCTTTTGCAGTGCTGAGTGAACGTTAACGTCTTTCAGGTTTAAAACCTTAAAGGTTTTTCAAAAATGAGCCCAAATCTTGGCTATAAATCCATCAGGTGGACAGAAACAC